CTTTCTACCTACTCTGGGTCTGCACCCCTGAGATTGAACGTGTCTGGTGAAAACCAGGAAGACATGCTGAGTAATTTCACGTTAATGGCCATTAAACCTCAAGTGGGCCCTTAGCGCAGCCTAGCAATCATGCTACATTTCCATAGAGCATCCAGCCTTCTTGTCTCCCAGAACACTGTTTTAAGCCTTTTCTCCTTAAACCACCGATTCTCCTCTTCCACCGTCACTCCCAGCTAGTGGCCTGGCTTCCTGTTCTCCTGAAAAAGAGAAGCCACCAGAAGATACCTGCTCCAAGCTCCAGCATCACCTCTCCCGCCTCCCTGCATCTGTGCATCTGTCTCTTGCATCATCAACTATTTCCTTCTTAACTGGCTCATTGGCACACAAACATGTTACCATGCTGTAATCTCTCCCACATTAAAACAATACTTTTATCTTGTTCCCTCATATTCCTACAGCCACCCCTCTCCTATGTCTCTGCTCTCCTTCACAGCTGAACTCTTCAAAAGAGTCATCAGTCAGCGCTCACTGTTTCCAATTTCTCTTTCCCGACTCTTGATTTGGAAGCGCTCTGATCCACCTTTAGGCCCCACATCTCTGTGGAAATTGCTCTGGAAGGGCACCAATGACCTCCACATCGCTAAACCCAGTGGTCAATTCTTTGTCCTTTTACTACTCCAGTTGGTAGGATTTGAAGAATTGGCCAATCCCTCCTTCTTGATCCACTTTCTTCAGTGTTTCCCCACACCTTGCTGCTTGTTCTTTCCCAGTCTCATTTGCTGGTTCCTTTTCATCTGTCCCACCTCTAAATGTTGGGCTACCCAGGGCTCAGTTCATGGGTTGCTTTGCTTTTTTTATACTCACTCCCTAGTTGACCTCATCCAGTCTCATGACTTTTAATACTGCTACTTATTCTCCAATTATATCTCCAGCCCTGATATTGCCCCTGAACTCCACACTCCTCTATCCAACTGACTCCATCACTGTCTTCCTCACTTTGGTAAATATACGTCCATCCTTCCTGTTCCTCTGGCTAAAACCATGAGAGCTGTCCTTGACTTCTGTGTTTGTGCCGTAGCCTGATACCAATCTGTGGTCAAAACCTACCCAGAATCTACCTACCTCTCAATGTAAATCTCTGACCTGGATTATTTCAAGAGTCCCGAAATAGTCTCCCTGTTTCCACTCTTTTCTCTCTTTAATCTGTTTTCAGGGAGCAACCCCATTGATAACTTGTATGAGAATAGACATCAGATCACGGTGCCCCTCAATGTCTTTCCACATCACTTTATCAGCCAAAGTCCTTGCAATGGACTGCAAGGCCCTGCACAATCTCTCGCCTCTGTTGTGGCCACCCTGATCTCATCCCCACTGTCCTCCTCTCTCAGTCCCTCCACTTCAGCACACCAGCCTCCTGGGTGCCCCCAGGATGTGCCAGGCATGCCCCTGATTCCAGGGCTCTGGCATGTGTGGATCCCACAGCCTGGAACAGTATGACCCCTCAAATCCTTTGGATCTTGGCTCAAACGCCATCTCCTCAGTGGGGTCTTTCCTGATTACTGTATCTAAATACTCTGCACCCCAAAGACCCTTCTCTGTTTCATTCGTCTCCATAGCACTATTCATTACCCAACATCCCGCATCTTTGACTTCTTTTTTTTTTTCTTTTTGTCTAAACTTCACGAGGGTAGGAGCTTTTGTGTGTTTTATTGGCTCCTGTAATCCCAAGTCCTAGAATACTACCTGGCAAAATAATAGCACCGAGTAAATACTTGATATCTTAGTTTGCTCAGCCTGCCCTGACAAAGTACCACAGACTGACTTAAGCAACAGAAATTTATTTACTCACAATTCCGGAGCCCAGAAGTCTGGGATCAAAGTGTCATCAGAATTGGTTTATTCAGAGGCCTCTCTCCTTGGCTTGTAGATGGTTGCCTTCTACCTGTGTCTTCACGTGCTTCACGTGCCTTTTCCCGTGTGCCTGTGTCCTAATCTCCTGTTCTCATATGGGCATTAGACAGATTGGAGTGTGGCCTACCTTAATAACCTCATTTTTAACTTAATGAACTCTGTAAAGACCCTATCCAAATATAGTCACATTCTGAAGTAAAGGAGTTAGGATTTCAACATGTAAATTGGGGAGGCACAATTCAGCCCACGTACTTGATTGATTGGTTAATCCATCTGCAAAGATGCATTGAGGCTCTTATGGGGTAAGGATCAGTGTTTAGGCTCAGGGAGAGGGTGAGGCTTGGTGAGGATATAAAGGGATGGGGGGCAGTGGAGTTCAATTCTGGGATGGATGAGGGTTGGGTAGGGAATGAGGTGCCAAGAGTGAATGACCCCAGAAGAGGGTACTTGTCTCAGCCAAAGGATGAGACACAGGGATGGGGTTGGGGAGAGGCCATGTGGCAGAAGATGGTGGAATCAGTGCAGTTGAGAGGTGAGGAAAGGAAGAACTAGCCAAGGCTTGCAGAGGGGAAGGGGAGGAATCTTAAGAGCAGTGGGGTGGTTGAAATGCTGGGATAGAATTGAGGATGTTGAGATTGTCACCAATGGGTGAGATGGCCCGCATACTTTGTGGGTCCTGGTGCAAAATGAAAATACAGGTCTCTTGTTCAAAAAGTATTAAGAATTAAGAATTTCAAGATGGAGACAGCAGAGCCTTAAACCAAGTGTAGGGAACACACCCATGAAGCTGGTCCTGCCCGATGGGATATGGATCAGGAATGGAGACAGATTAGAAATTAGGACAAGGTTGGGTAAAAAAGGTCTTTTCTCTTGCAATGTATAGGGAATTTTTATTGAAATATGGTCTGCCTTTTGCCATCTTTTTATTATTATTAGCAACTGTAATGTACACTCTTTTGGAGGTGGGTCCTCCCACAATCCTTAATGCCCTACATATGTGATTTTGATGTGTGCCAAAGTGTGTTTGTTGAGATCACCAACACCGCTTGGTAGCAAGTAAGAGAAGGGTGCACATTGGGTGTGATGGAGATGGAGGAGAGTGAAGGCTCACAGGGAGACCAGAGCATCTCTCTAGGATTTAGATAATGAGGGTCTGGACTGCACCTGTAGACTGGGGGAGGTGCAATTTGGTTGGAAAATAAAGTCCTTTAGAGCACCAACCTGCGGGGTGCCTAACCAAGGCGGATAAGCCAGTGGCCAAGCCTTTCCCATCCTGGTGCAGACCAGAGGCAGTTCAGATCAAGATCCTCCTCGAGGAGGGCACAGAGGGGCTGTCCTGGGCAAAGAGGGCTCCTGCAGCCCTGCAAGGACAAGCAAGCCAGGGGAAGACTCTGAGAACAGGTGGCAGGGGTGGAGGGCAAAGCACCCAGAGCGGGGGAAGAGGGAGGAGAGAGAAGGGCAGGGACAGAGAGGGGCAGAGGGGCTGCTCAGCTCTGGGAGCTGGACTGGAAGAGGCCCTAGGTGATGGAGGCCTTCCCCCCCTATTTTCCACGACCCTGGCGGCAAGGCAGTTGGTGTTTCTCTGCCCCGAATGGGGGTGGGGGTAGTTCCGGGTATGCCTTCTCAGGATCATCCTGCCCAAAACATCAAAATGGGGAAAAGGGTGGGAAAGGCGCCCACTTCAGTTGCAAGATGGGCTCCAGAGGTTCAGAGAACAAAAAGAACCCTGAAAACCCAGCAGGGTGCACTGGACGCCTCCTCTGAAGATTTGGCAGACCCAGATCCTGAGCTCCCCCAGAACGGTCCTGCCTTCCCTTAGCAGTCCACCTCGTCGCGTGGTTCTCCTTGGACTAGTGTCATGTACCAGCGTCTGGTCCTGTCATGCTGAACCTCCCACAGCGGGGCCTCCTGAGACCCCTCCCTGCCCACTCCCCACCCCCGCGCTCCCTTCCTCTTCCCTTTCTGCGCCTTAAGAGTTTCCCAAGCCCATTTCCTCTTTTATTTCGCTGCAGCCCCGCGAGGGAGGCAGGATTCTCCCCATTTACCAGATTTGACAGGAGAGAAGCCTGTCGTCCTGGGGCAGGGTGGGGGCGGGGGGAGGAGGTAAGTGAAGAAGCCAAGGTCACCCAGTCACTGGCGGAACGCAGCCTCAACCCAGCCCTTCTAGGGGCCGGCTGGAGCCCGGCGAGGTGGGCCCAGGCTGCTGGCCCGAGCCCCTTCTTTTCTCGGCTGGCACTCGGGGGCGGGCTGGCCACAATGACAGGTGAGCCTGGATCGGGGACAGTTGGTGGGGGGGGGGGGTGCGCTGCGCGGGGCCCCTGGCGTGTGGGCCTTGGGCGCGGCCGCCCCAGCCCGCCTTGGCGCCCGGGCTTCCGAGGGCCAGTGCCCGGAGGCACGACGGGGCCCGCGCCTTTGGCTGGGGGTCCTTGGCGTGCCCGGGCCCGCCGGCCAGGCCCCGCCCCTTGGCAGCACGGGCGGGGGCAGGGGCGGCGCCGGCGGAGTGGGGCGCGGGCGCGCGGTGCTCGGTGCGCGCCGCCGCCCCTCCGGCCCAGCTTGCCGGCCTGCCCTCCCTCCCCCTCGGCCCGCTCTCCTCGCCCCCAGCCCTCTCCTGTCCTCGGCCCGGCGGCCCGGCGCGCGGTGGGGCGCGACGATCGCGGCCTGGCGATCAGGGCACGGTGGTCGTGGCGCTCGAGGGTGGCGCGCAAGGCGCGGGGCGCGAGGCCAGACCTGGCGCAGCAGGGCGTGGGGGGCGGGCAGCGGCGGAGTCCCCAGAGGAGAGCAGGGGCAGGGGGGTGCCGAGGTAACGGGCAGGGCCCGGGCGCCCGGCTGCGAGGGGCGGGAGCTCCAGGCGCACCTCGGCCCGGGCCTTGGCCGGGCCGGTTGCGGGGGCCCCGGTGGCGGCCGGAGGGCGCCGGGCGGGGAGGGAGGGAGGGAGGAGACGGCTGGGCCGGGCCGGGGGCTTGGCCGACGGGGAGCAGGTGGGCGGGGACAGGGGCCCTGCTGGAAGAGGCGCCGCAGCGAGGTGGCGGGCTGCGTGCGCAAACAGGGCGGCCGCCTCCCGGGCCCAGAGAACGGTGAGGCCGTTTGGGTTGGGTGCCCCAGCCCCGAGGGCATGGTTCGGTGTCCAGGGCCCCTGAACCGGGCGCGGGACATTACTGGGGGACGGCCCGGCCGGGCCAAGGCGTTGGGGGTCTTGAGCAGACCCAGGAGAAGAGCGTGGCTGGGCCAGAAGCTGGAGTTCCTGGGCAGGGCGCAGCTGGAGGGCGACGGTGGGCAAGGGCGAGCACTTTAAGGGCTGGCATGAGTGGAAGGAGACAAGGAGGGCCCAGAGTTTGAGCATAATTTGGGAGTTCCATGTCACTGGGTAGGTTCATGAGTCATGCGCTTTGGCGATCACAGAAGTCTTTCCTGGCGACCAGTTCTGAGTGAGGGGAATGAAAAGGGCTAGGATTTGGAGAAGTGGTTTGGAGGCTACGTCTTGGGACACCCGGTGCTCTGATGGCCTCCTGTCCCCATGCGAGGGACTTTGGGAGCGATGTTTCAGAGTGCTGTGATTTGGAAGCTTCAGCCTAGGCTGGGGTCTTAATAAGGAAGGTCTTTGTGGCGGCCCGTCCCTGCCTGCCTTCCTTTCCAGGCCTTCAGGATTCAGCTGTGTTCTTGGGGGGAGTGGGTTAAAAATTCCTTCGGCCTACAATCAGCCTTACAGTATCCACCAGGGGTAGGAGGGACATGTACATGCGTGACTGCAGCAGCATTCTCTGTCGTGGAGCCCTCACGCTTCCTCGCTGTTGCCATAGCAACGCCCTATTGATGGTGTATTTATAGGGGAAGAAGCAGGCGCTAAATTTTGGGGAAGGTGGAGGAGGCAGCAGCAGCGATGGTGGCTACAGAATTATTAATGGAGTAGGTCATGCCCCGTGAGCTGTTTGGGGGGCGTTCCTGGCTTGTTTGCAGCTTAAAAATGAACTAATAACTTTGGCAAGGGTCAGGAGAGCACGCATTCGTGGCTATGATCTGTGTGGATGTTCATGCATCAAAGTCAGGTGTGTTTGGGACAAGAGGTGGCTATATGTAAGCTGTTATGTAATTTTTCCACATAAAAATGAACAAAAATCACACGGCAGTTCTCTTTGATAGGCAATGAAATGTAGGTTTTTCTGTCTTCACTTATTAGTACAGCCTTTACTCATTCTTGTCAAACCCTGACACAACAGCTCCGTTTTTAATTCAATGAAAACCCTTTGCTGTTAGGCATGCCACACCCACACCATCACCATGTGACTGGCATGCCCCGCCCCCCGCCCCCCCCCCCCCGGAAACCCAGAGATCAGTAATGAAGCAGAATTTTGAGATAAATAGTCTATCTTCACTCTTAAAACATCAAGGGCCAACTTTTCTTACAATGGTAGACCCATCTGTTGACACATTCACTCACTGATAATTTTGGGTGGGATCATTGTGGGGTTCAAGAGAGAAAAATCCCCCTTGACATGGTGTTGCCATAGATGGATGTTAGATTTGCTGTTTTTCCTTTAGCTTTAATTTTATTTATGATTTATAGCCTACCTGTTTGCCGAAAGGATTAGAAGGTATATTTGAAACATACACGAGGTCTGAACACATAAAGAGAAAAGCGTATGCCACGCTGCACGGGAGAAGCATATGTGCTCAACAGCTGGGCTTGATGGTCACTGTTAACACTGAACTTCCTGGCAGCCTAGGCAAAAAGGGTGGCACGACGGGTTACACCGTTCAGGTGTCTTGCATCCAGTGAAGTCATAAAACCAGAGCTTCTGCTTGGGGAGGGGGCAGCGGGGTGATTGCTCCCAGATGTGGACAGCTTGGGCAGAGCTCTGGAATATGTGTGTGAGGGGGAGTGCGTGGTGCGGGGCGCACTGTGCCGTGGCCACGGTTTACATAGTGGCAGGATGATTCCTGAGCAGGAGCAAGGCTTTTGGACAATAGCTCACATGAGAGGCAACACTTGCATTGAGTTAGCATCTCAGTTTCAGAAGATCCTCAGTGCCTTGTCTGGTGCAGACCAAGAGCGGGGCACCTGGGTTTGGGCTGAGACTTCTGAGATGGCTGTTGTTCCCCGCGTTAAGCTTGGCCAGTACCTGCTTCTTCAACGTGTGCTGCCCGATTTCAAGGAACATGCTTGTCATTAGAGGTATCTGGGACTTGCCATTGTGAGCAAACTGAGTTCCAAAAATTGGGTCCTGTCCCTGTCACTGTTGATGTGCTTGACCTCACGTAATTCTCTGTCTCTCTGAGGTCCTTTCCGACTCAACAGTGCAAAGATCTGTCGAGGGAAGTGAGGAAGGAGGAACCTTGGCCTGTAGGATGGGTTTCCCCCCCCCCCTTTTTTTTTTTTAAGAATTAAGTCAACCCTTAGGTGTTCTAAGCTCTCTGAATCTGTTCATGGGGCAAAGAGCTGGAAGGTTAGCTTTGGGCTCTGCTGGGCCTTGGGGAGCTCTGGGAAGAGAGCCTGGGGAAGGATGGGAAGCTGTGAGTGGCACAGGGGGTGACCTGCCTCATGAGGTGCTCCTTTGACCTTTGACCAGGCCAGCGGGGGTGGGAGTCACATCCCAGGGCCAAGAAGGTGCCCCGTAGGCTTTGGGGTGTGATTTCATTGTGACTCTGCTTTTCTCCTTTGCCAGGCAAGTGAGACGCTGGGTCTGAGGGAGGAACAATGGCAGGTGAGTTTGCCAGGGCCCAGGCCAAGGGGTGAGGGGCCATGCCCAGGGGCTCGCAGGAAAGGTGCCTGTTCACTTTTCTTTCTTTTTCTTTTTTAAGATTTTATTTGTTTATTTGACAGAGACATAGTTAGAGAGAGAGCACAAGTAGGCAGACAGGCAGGCAGAGGGAGAGGGAGAAGCACGCTCTCCTCTGAGCAGGGAGCCCGATTCAGGGCTCGATCCCAAGACCCTGGGATCATGACCTGAGCCAAAGGCAGATGTTTAACCGACTGAGCCACCCAGGTGCCCTGCATGCTCACTTTTCAAGTCCTTCCCAGCTTGCCTGTCCCCAGGGTGACCTTGTAGATGTGCACCTGCCCAGGCTACTAGGAGAGAAACTAGTACTACAGGGCACCTGCTTTTTGGTAAAGCCCTGCCTCCCTGGGCCCTGCAAGGGGCTGGTTGACAGGAGAACTAGCTCAGGTTTACAGAGGCATATAGCTGATACCGTAGCTAGGTGGCTGGACCGTAGCTGGGTCCCTCCCTTTGGAATAAGTAGATATGACCAGCATTCAATGACATTTTTGCAGGAAGCATCTGTGCGGTCTACGAAGGCTTAGATTCCCCACATAGATCCTGCTACCCCTTTCCCAGAGGCACTCTCAGATTTGTATGCACCCAATGCCCTGATCTAGGCCAGAATGGGTTTGTACTAGATTGTCTGGGGCCGGACTATTGATGATGGCCCAGGTGGCCATTCAGGTGGAGGGATGCCGCCCTTGTAGAGTCATATGCGGTGATTTGTTACTGGTCACCAGCAACATGCCCTTCCCTCTCATTCAGATCCCATTTTCCTCCGTAACACCCGAGGCCCGAGTCTCCTCGGGTCAGTGGTATTCTAAGCTGACACGTCATGGCATCAGAGAAAGTTAGCCTTTTGATCCCTTTTACAAAGGCCTCGCCGTGGGCGCCTGGGTGGCTCAGTTGGTTAAGCGACTGCCTTCGGCTCGGGTCATGATCCTGGAGTCCCGGGATCAAGTCCCGCATCGGGCTCCCTGCTCTGCAGGGAGTCTGCTCCTCCCTCTGACCCTCCCCCCTCTCATGTGCTCTCTGTCTCTCTCATTCTCTCTGTCTCAAATAAATAAATAAAAAATCTTAAAAAAAAAAAAAAAAAAAAAAAAGGCCTCGCCGTATCTGGGGTGGTGTCTTGCCTGCCAACTTTGTCTTGCTTCCCTTCCTCGTTATGCTTCTGTGTCTGGGCTGAGTCTGGCTTAAAGGAGCCCCTGGGCCCCTGCCCACTCCAGGCTTCAGTGAAGATCTCTCCTCAGTGTTTCTGGAGGCCAAGAATGCCCATTCGGTCCTGAAACGGTTCCCTCGTGCCAATGAATTCCTGGAGGAGTTGCGCCAGGGCACCATTGAGCGAGAGTGCATGGAGGAGGTCTGCAGCTACGAGGAGGTCAAGGAGGTGTTCGAGGACAAAGAGAAAACGGCACGTACTGCCCCGGGGCCGGCTTCTGGGAGCAGGGGCAGCCTCAGGAATAACAAGAGCAGGCCCTGGTATCTCAGGCCAGTCAGAAGCAATGAAGGAAAGATAGCCCAGTCTCAGGCCATGGAAGGACAGACAACATGTCCTTAGAGTCCCAGCTGCCTGATTCTGGGGACCCCTTCACTTGGGAGCATTGTCCCTTGTCCTGGGTGCATTCCATAGCCTCTCAGGTAGCTGAGAGGCCAGTCAGATGGGCAGGGTGGGGAGCCGCCCCAGGCCCTGCTGAACTTGCCAGACTAGCTGAAGTTCTCTGAGGTCCAGCTGGGGCATGAGGTCTTGCATGTAAGTGTAAGCGGCCCTTCTTCTTTTGTAGATGGAGTTCTGGAAGGGGTACCCGAATGCAGTCTACTCAGTCCGAGACCCTGCACAAAGCTCAGATGCCATGTACGTGGTGGTGCCCCTTCTGGGGGTGGCGTTGCTGATTGTCATTGCCCTGTTCATCATCTGGAGGTGCCAGCTGCAGAAAGCCACCCGTCATCACCCGTCGTATGCTCAGAACCGGTACCTGGCCAGTCGCACCGGGCACAGTCTCCCCCGGGTCATGGTGTACCGGGGCACTGGCCATAGCCAGGGGGAGTCCTCTGGGCACCGTGAGGCAGGGAACAATGCACAGGTGGTGCTGGGGCCCAGTCGAGGGGGCAGAACCACGGTTCGCCTGGAGAGCACCCTCTACCTCCCTGAGCTCTCTCTCTCCAGGCTGTCCAGTGCCACTCCTCCCCCATCCTATGAGGAGGTGACTGCGCCCCAGGAGAGCAGCAATGAGGAGGCGAGCGTCTCTTATAGCGACCCACCCCCGAAGTATGAGGAGATAGTGGCCACCAACCCTGGCTTGGACAAGTAGTAGGACTTCTGGCCTGTCCGGAGTGAAAGCCTCTTTAAGGGGTCTCCTATTATTATTATTATTATTATTTTTTTTTTTTACTTTTTAAAGACTGTGCCACCACAAAACAGCCTTAGCCTCCTGTTGCCAAATAATTTCCTAACCGTGGATTTGTAGGAAGTCAGTTGTCAGAGACAGGTGGAGGGGGCGGGGGGTAGGGAACACATATGCGTCAAAGCCCCTGGGGAGAGCCACAGGCTAGAGAGCCCAGCTCTTCCCCAAACCCCCATGCTCCCGCCATCCTGTCCTCCCATCAGGAACTGGCTTCTCTTATGCCAAAGGTATTACCCTATTGAGTTGATTGTGGCCAGAATGTCCATAGGCTCAGGCCCCAGGGCCACGTAGCTGGCTGGAGACCTGTCTCTGTCTGGAAGCCTAGGCCACAGAGATGAGGGAGAGAAGCTAGCCCTTCAGCAACCCCTTTTCCTCAACAGTCCTGTGCTTTCTGTCTTTGCTTACATTTTGAGCACGGGGACAAGGACTGAACAACAACTACAAAAAAGGGTAATAACAAATGAATAAGTGACCAACACAATAAAACAAAACAATATAACCTGGGCCATTCACAGGGGACTGAGGGAAATCAGATCTGTGAGACTCCCCTGCCCCAACACCCACCCCCACGCTGCTGACCACGTTAAAAGGAATATCTAGAGAAGCTGGAAGGAGGACAGGGTGTGTGAAGGATGAGGGGCAAGGGCCTAGCTGCCGGATTGAGCGAGAGGCCTGTGTGAACTTGGCCATCCTGGAGGCTAGCTCTGGTTCTAGTGTGCTTGGCCTCCTGAAGACCTTGGCTTTCTAGACGTGTGTACCGGCTGTGCTAAAACTGCTACGCACTGGCCTGAGCCCAATCAGAGCACTGGGAAAACTAACGCTGGTGACCCTGCCTGGGGAGCCCGTGGCCTCTGAGTGGTTAGGGGTACGGGCTGGGGCAGAGAGCTGAAGTTTTCTCCTACAGAGGTTGACTGGCCCATGGAATGACTAAACCCATGAACTTGGCCTCCTCAGCACTGTGCTTTCTGGCTTTGAACTTTTAGGATACTTCCTTTTTCGTGAGCAGGTGCATTGAGTTGAACTTGAACTTCAGATGACTGACTTCTCCTTAAGAATGGTGTCCACCTGGGGAAAAGATCCTGAAGTGTCCCTTTTTAGAAATTTCTTGGCAGGGGAGGTGGGGAAGCCTGTGACGTGGGGTCAAAGGCCCATTCAGGGTTTGCTGTGTTATTGCCAGGGGCTGGTCCATTTTTAGTAACCCCCTTCTCTGGCCCAGGGGCTGTCCACCTCTGCATTTCAGTGAGGCTTTGGACGGCAGTGGGGCAGAAGTGACCTGCCCTTTAGCTGACCGTGACCACGTACAAGACTCTCGATACCGCTTCCCCTCACCCCCGCATGTCCATCCTTCTGGCCCCAGTGGTGCTTTAAAAAATGTAGCAAATTTTTGTGGGGTCCAAACGAGTGCACAGCCAGGGTCTATCGGCAAGCCACCGAGAAGACAAGCTTCTCTCTGTCCAAACAGCTCTCCGAGACCGGCATCGGGTCTCCTTCTTTGACGGCAACCCTGCCTCGAGGCCACAGATGACCTCTGGAGGCCCCTCCCGCCCTGAGGACTGGCCTTGGGACATGCTTCAAGTTTAGGAGACTTGTGTTCCTATCCCAATGAGGCCACCAGCTTCGACGACTTGACCTGGTGCCTGCGGTTTTCCGTCCTTCCCACTCCCTCCCAGGCCTATGGGAGGCTGACTGAGCTAATGCCTGGGGAGCTAGTGCAGTTTGCCCTTAGGAAGAGTCTTCTAGAAATGTGTAGCTTATAGGAGACCAGTCTTAGTGGAGGCCTTCACGTGACACTGATGTTGAGTCTCAACTTGGGATCTCAGTCTCCTGCCAGTTGGCACTTTGTGCCCCCTCCTCCTTCCCCAAGAGCTCCCTGATGCCCGAGGTGCTGACCAGGTGCGTTCCACCTTTCCTTCCTTCCCCCTTTCCTCCCTCCAGGCCTCTAACACTACACTCTTGCCCTTCCTCACAAAGGTATTTTAGGGCCTAGAAAGGCCCCCCTTTTTGCACGACGGAGGCTGTGGTCACTCCTGGTTGGCCATGTTGGAGGACCTGGGGCGGCCCGAAGCTCTGGGGCCAGCCCTGCCCTCCCAGCATTTCCTCAGGCAGGTGCCTGCGTGTGACCCGGGAGCATGGGAGAAGAGAGCCAGGCATGGGCCCTAGTGACCAGAGCCGAAGGGAGTAGGCCAAGGAATGCCTGCTGCCTTTGGCATCTGCTGAGCCCTTCCCTGCCAAGCTGGGTGGAGATGGGAGGGAGCGGGAAGCAGGAGCCTGGCCCGGTGGAGGACAGCACGTGTTGTGTCCTTCAGGCGCCGAGCCAGGGCCCGCAGGGAGAGCTCACAGGCAGCTCCTAGGGCCCTGTGTTCTCCTGTTAAGGTGCTTCGCAGGATTCTTGCCACCGTGGTCTCTGGGATGTTTTTTGCAGTATATTGTAGGAAAAAAAGACTGTACAGTACACAATGGTCAGAACTCCTCGCGGTGCACATTTGGCTTTTACGAACGCTCTGTATATATCTTTTCAAACTCTGTCTTTGTATGGACGTTGGTTTGATATGATGCTGAATCTGTAGTAGCCACATTTTTGTTGTTTTGGGACTTTGTGTGTGTGCGTGTGTGTGCCTGTACGCGTGAAACAATAGCCGGTGTGTGGCTATATTTGTACCAGGAGGGTACCAGTCTGAAGGGAGGAATGTCACGTCCTGGGGCTGGACGGGCTTTTGACAGGGCCCTGAGGGAGGAAAGCTGAGATTAGCTGTCCAAGCCCCCGGAAAGGCACCACCTTCTGCCCCCACTTCACAAAAAGTTTTGGGAGAAGACTAAGCCTCCACCCTGTGGGACCCCTCACTCACACACCCTTTTGGCCTGGTGTCCCCCGCCTCTACTCCTATTCTGTGGGTATCACCAGCTGAAGGAGATCTGAGCACTCCTGGGCCTTTTTATTTTTTGTTTTTATATTTTGGTGGGAAAAAAATGTGTGACTATTGACTTTGGGACTGGTGGGGCTAGTTATTCAGATATTTTTCATTAAGAAAAAAGAGAAAAGGCTTTAAAAACCTTTTTAAGACTTTTTAAAATGAGAATCGCAAACCTGTCCCACCACGCTGCTCCCCATCGCCTGGGGTTTTCAAGACGAAAGCACAGGAGAAAGAGTGAAGCAACATCTAGCAGGAGCCTCCTCTTCTGCTTGTGAATCCCACTGCCAGTAGTGTGAATTCCTTAGGGTGCTTGGGAAAACAGGAATCTGCCCAGTGGGTTGGATGTGGCCTTTCTGGTGGCCTGAATATGAGGAATTCGGGACAGGAAAATGTCTTTTTGTTAAGGAGTTGGAGCCAGATGGTTCCTCTCTGGCTGCGGGTTGATCTTTTGACAAACAAATGGTATCCCATGAGAAGAAGGAAAAAACAACACTGCCTCTAGATTGTTCTTTTGTCGGGGGTGGGGGGAAGGGGGGGTCCTATTCACCTACTCTCTGTGTTTCTAAGAGTGTGCCTGTGTGCTAGGTCTTGCATGTGCTTTCATGTTCAAGGCCAAGATGGAGAGCTGGGCAGCAAAGCTTTTCGGCTTGACAAGTAACGAAGCTCCATTTCAGGACTGTGCCCATTCAGAACTTATAGAAAATCACAACTTAAGATAATTCATGGTATCTGCGATTCTCGCTCTGTAGAAATATTTGAAATATTCTTCGCTTTAGTCAATTTTCAGGGTCCTATGTGTAAGAGGGATCTAGTTAAAATGAGCACCTTTTTCAAATAAAAGGCTCAAGACATCAGGGATCCCTTCACCGTGCCTTCAGCTTTGGGGCTCAGCAATTCTCGTGTGTAAGGCTCTTTCTGCGTAGGATGGTCTCTTGGTCTCTCTCCATTGTGGGAAGGGTGGGTGCTGCAGGTTTTCATTCTCCTAGCCTGCAATTTAAAGTAACGTAACTGGTGTATCTTGCTAAATATTCTGTAAAGCAGATGTTTTGCTATCAGGCTGGCCACTCCCATCATTCGCCTCCAAATATTAAATGTAGGGAGGTTTTCCTTTCACAGGCTGTGGGCGGTGAGTCTCTCTCTAGCAAGAATTTCTCTGACAAGGATATCCAAACACTGTACTGAGACATCTGACCGTTGAATGGTGCCTGCCCTTCCCCCGCCCCCAGCCTGAGCATTAACACAGATATTCAAAATTGGAACAAATCCCACAGCTGCTTTTGCCTCCCGATCTATCTCCCCTTCTGGATGCCACTTTCCCAGGCCTGAACACACCTGCTATTTCACTCTGTGATTGTGAATTTGTGACAGTGGAAACCCTGATATGTGCAACTGAGCTTATAGACATGATTACTGTGAAATGGATTAATTTTGGTACCACTTTAAACTGTGCTTGTATTCATGTGTTGACCCGTGTCAGCTGGGAAATCTGTACATTCAGTAGTATGTCAGGATTTCACTGGAGCCTGGGAGCAACCAATATACTTGCTTCCTATTCTCTCTCTCTCTTTTTATAATTGTTGAGTTTAGCTGTTAAATTTCGTCTCTTTCTGTACAAGAAGATAATTAATAATAATAAAGAGCACATGGCATTCACTTGTGTCCTGTCCTCATCAGTCTTGGATCCCTGCTGACTCCCAAACTTTCGCGGAGGAAATGGATGGTTGTGGGCCAAACTTGTTTTTCCCAAAAGTCAGACTGTAGATGAGGAAACAGCCCAAACCAGTTTAGAAGCAGGAAGCAGAGATGTCTTGGGTTCTAAAGATTGTCCTCATGTGTGTAAGATGATCTCCTGGCCCATCCCCCTGGGATGCGGTTAGTAAAGTCTGTGGCCAATCAAGTTAGCAACTTCCCTGTCACCTGATCCCTGGTTACTAACAGAGTTGTCTCTTTTGCTAAAAGGATGCCTTGCTTGGTTTCAGAGCTGGGGAAGGGTTGGGAGGGAGAAATTTTTCTGTGTCCTGTGAAGGTAGGATTTAAAACTCAGGCATCGCCCTGGCTCTGCTTCCTAAATTCAGAGGATGGCAAGAGTCAGAGACTGTTCAGAGGGCAAGGATGCCCTTGCTTCCCCTTGGTGGAAGCATAGTCTTAGCCCCAAACACTCCCGGCTGTTGGTGTGGGGTGAGATATGGCCAATCCCCAGTAATGAAAATAATCCACGCTTTAATAGGAAAAGCCATGGCAGTGATGAGAAAATGACAATGAAACTTAGGGCCTCCTTCGAGGATTGAATGTGGAGGCTAAATGCCAGAACTGACAACCAGGGGCCTTGGGTTCCATTCTTATCTGGGACTGGCTTGTTGCATGAAGCCAACCTTCTGGAGATGTGGAGAAGTCAAGTGAATACTCTTCAAGCAGACTCCAGGACACAGGTGGGGTCACATTCTGAATATGGGTTTTGAACTTTAGGCTCTTTTTGTCAGAAACAAGCATTCTAGGCAGTGACTTAGAGTCCTAGGCTAGCCCACAAGAGGAAGCTAATACATGAGGGAGGCCCCAGGCTCCCAAAGTCCCTGTTGGGCACCATCCGAGGGACTGGGCCTCGCTTTCTTGTTTTCGTGTTGTACCACAAGACCATAGGTTGTGGGGCCAAGGCACTGGGATTGCTTATGGACCGTGAGGGCAAGTCAGGAGCAGAGACTTAAAGGCGTGATGGCAGGGAAGGGGGCAGAGACTGCTTCTCGGGTGTGGCTTGGGATCCCTTTTGTCGTTCTTTCCCCAAGCCTCCACCTTGTATTACTGCCAAACTCTTCAAGCAGCTGGTCCGAGACTGCACCTACTGAAGGGACGGAGGGATAGTGGGAAGGATCCATGAGTTGTGCTTGGAAATAATCACAGACAGCATTTATTGAGCACTTAGGGTATGCCAGGCCTTGTGGATGCATTAACTGAGACAATTCTTCCAACAAACCTGTGATAGCTGAGGGAAGGAAGGCCATTTGACCAAGGGCTCACAGACAGGAAGTGCTGCCCTCATCAAGGGGAACTCACGTCTCTCCTGAATGCCCCACACCCCGGCCACTCATATGACACTGCTAGTCTCCTTTGGAGGTTACTTTGCTTTTGTTTTCCCGTTGACTGTCCAACCTGCCAGCACCCTCACACCTCCTCCTGCCCGACTGTTAATTCCACAAGAGCAGGGACCATGTAAAACGTTTTTCTCCCCACTTCTTCCTTACACTTCGGCACAGTGGCTCACGGTCAGTGTTCAATGAAATAAAATGTGTTGATTGATTATATTCTCCAATTAGGACCCAAGCTTCATGTGTTAGTTTGCTCGGGCGGCCATAACAAAGTACCACAGACTGGATGGCTTAAATGACGGAAATGTATTCTCTTACAGTTCTAGAGGTTAGTTCGCTGAGATCCAGGTGTTGGCGGGGTTGGTTTCTTCTAAAGCCTTTCCCTTTGGCTTGTAGACCACCCTTTTCTGCCTGTGACCTCACATGTTCTTCCCTATGTGTGTGTTGTTGTCCTAATCTCCTCTTGGTGTAAGGGTGAACACTTTTGATCTCATTTAACCTCAGTTACTTCTTTAAAGATCCTATCTCCCAAAACAATCATATTCTGAGGTACTGGAGGTCAGGACTTCAACATCTGAATGTGGGGGGGCGGTTTGGGCGGGAAACACAATTCAGGCTATAACATTCCATCTGTAGCAGGGGGAGACTTTGTTGCTCCTTATCCCAACCCTGAGCACATCACACACACTCTGGAAAAGCTTGGGGGTGGACATCAGGACTTCTCTGAGATGCTGGCAAAGACAGGGGCACCTTGTCAGGCTGAAATCAGGCCCCCCACAGCAGTTTCTTCCCTGCCACAAATGGACAGGCCTGGGCCACTTGCCAAAGGTCCTAACAGCCCAGGTGGGATTGGGACAGAAGTGGGCTTCAGCATAGTTTTCCCAGGGTCCCTCTGAGGAGAGTGATGTGAGAACCCAAAGCCTGAAGAATAGACAAAATCTTTGTGTCCCCTCAGACTTTTTTATAGACAAAATATGTGGGTTTTTTTTTTTTAAGAATCACAAGACTAGCATGGTGTTCCAGAAGCTGGCTGTGTCCCTGCTTCAAGCCAAGCCATGGGGCCCCAGAAGGGAGTACAGCAACATGCTAGGTCCTCCCTTTCTGGAACTCTGGGCCTAGTTTTGTGGGGAAGGCATTAGACAAGCCACGGCAATGAACCATGTTGGACTTTCTGGTAGGGGAAGCCTGGGGGGCTGGGGCTGCGGGCTGCCAGAGAAAGCCTTCTTGAGGAAGCCAGGCCCAACCTAAAGCTTGAAGTAGGAATCAATCAGGCAGAAGAGCATGGAAGACAATTAAATCAGGCAGAGGAATGGCATGTGAAGGGGCCTAGAGTCCAGCAAGGCTATCATATTTTTAAGGAAACAGAAGAAGCCAGGGTAGGGTAAGGGGAAATCCTTGAGCAAGATGAGATTGGAGAAGCCGAGGGAAGGCAGCCCATGCAGGGCCCCGAGGCCACACTCAGGGCTGTAGTCTTTACTCTCTAGTGAGAATGGGAAGGCACTGAGGTATCTTTGAGAAGCAGGAGGATATGGCCAGGCCTGTTACATTTAAAATAATCAGTCTGTCTGTTATGTGGGTAATGGGCTGAAGGGGTCATGACGGGATCCAAGAGATAAGTATGAGGCCATGCAGTCATCCAGGCAAGAGGCGGTGACGGGATTGCCTAGGGGAGTGGCAGAGAAGACAGAGGGAAGTAGACTACTGAGAAGATTTTTGCTCAAACACAGAATTAATTATATATTGAGGAGGTTGTATCAGGGTTCTCCAGAGACACAGAACCAGTAGGAGATGTATACAAAGATAGAGAGTTGGACATACAGGCACCCCCCCGCTTTTCAAGTTTGCTTTACACCACTTTTATGAAAGACCTACATTAGTACCTGTTTTTGCTAACTGAAAGAAACCAGCAGAAGATTTTTGCTTTTATAAAAATAGGCCAAAAGCAACAACACTGTCCATTGTTCAACATTTGTTTTGCAGTGACCTGTTCCAGAGGCTGTGTGCACCCACCAAGCTTCTTCCTCACAAGCTGCACTTGGCATCTCAGCTTTGAACTGTGTCTATGAGCATCTGTGCTTTATCTGTTTTTGGAAGTTTTTATTTAAATTCCAATTAGTTAACATACAGTGTAATATTAGTTTCAGGTGTATGATATAGGGATTCAACACTTCATACATCATCCCGTGCTCATCACAAGTACACTCCTTCATCCCCATCACCTGTTTCATCCGTCCCCTCATCCTTTGCCCCTCTGGTAACCATCACTTTATTCTCTAGAGTTAAGAGTCTGGTTCTTGGTTTGCCTCTCTCTCTTTTCCCTTTGCTCGTCTGTTTTGTTTCTTAAATCCCACATGTGAGTGAAATCATATGGCATTTGTCTTTCTCTGACTTATTTCACTTAGCATAATACCCTCTAGCTCCATCCACGTCATTGCAAATGGCAAGATTTCATTCTTTTTGATGGCTGAGTAATATCCCATTGTGTATATATACCGCATCTTCTTTATCCATTCATCTGTCGATGGACAGCTGAGCTTTTCTCATAGTTTGGCTATTGTGGACATTGCTGCTATAAAGGGGTAATTCTATTTTTAACTTTTTGAGGAACCTCCATACTGTTTTCCACAGTGGCTGATCTGTGCTTTATCTTGATTTATTTTGTGCATCTGTCAGCAAGAGGTGTCCTAAGGCATCAGAAAGGCCTGATAGAGGTTATTTTTTGGGTCTGAGGACACTCAAACATTTTTTCCATATAAATTAATAGTAATTGCTTCTTTCCTTTAAGTCATTTTGGTTTATGAAAGATTTCATAGGAATGCTCTACTTTTGGATAGCAGGGGAAACCTGTGCAGATATAGCTAAATCTATATATTTATATCTGTAATCTCTTTTTCTCTCTCTCTATCTATCTGTATGTATGTATCTATCTATCTATAGATATCTATCTATATATCTATATTTCTATCTATCTATCTATCATCTATCGAGATTGATTTATTATAAGGAATTGCCTCATGCAATTGTAATTATAGAGGCCAAGAATTCTTACAATCTGCCCTCTGCAAGCTGGAGATCCAGGACAGCCAGTGGTAAAGTTCTAGTCTGAGTCCAAAGGCCTGAGATCCAGAGAGCCAATGAGGGAGTTCACTGAGACAGAGAGTTCAGAGAGAGTTCAAAGGCAGGAGAAGACCAGTATCCCAGCTGAAGTAGTCAGGTAGGGAGAGAGAGAGAGAGAGAGAGAGAAACAAGGGGAGTGAGTAGGTGAATTTTCCCTTCTTCTAACTTTTGTTCTATTCAAGCCCTTAAAGGATTGTGTGATGTTCACTCACACTGGGGAGGGCCATCTGCTTACTGAGTCCACTGATTCAAATGTTGAGCTCATCCAGAAACACCCTCAGAGACACATCCAGAAACAAGGTTTAATCTGGGCACCCCATGGCCCAGTCAAGGTGACACATAAAATTAATGATCATAGGTGGAACAGAACTATACATAGTGACTGACTGGTTGGGAGGGGTGGGGAGAAGTCCTAGATGACTCTGAGGCTTGGGGGCTCAGACTGTGGGGTAGATG